GTGTGGGGGCCGGGGCCAAAACCCGCCCAGCCGCTATTAGCTGCAGTGTGTGGGAGCGATTGCGGATCACACGTTATTGGTTCTGGCTGCGTTGGGCATCCCTTTAGTGGAGGCTTAGAGGAGTCTGGGTAGAGCGGGCCCAGAGCACTAGCTGAGTAACCCCTTCCTCCCTCTCTCTAGGACTGTTCTGGCCATTACTCAGGAGGAACTCTGCCGAAGAATACAGGCTCTGCTCGCCGCTCTCCCTCCCTCTTTGGGAGGCAAGCGGGAGATGCTGCCCTTGTTTCCGATTACATCTCCAGATTCCTGAGCAGCAAATCCTTGAACCTAGAGAGACATTTTTGCCCCCAGAACAATCCAGTGAAGGGGTTTCTCTTTCCAGTTCCAGGGATTTCTGTAGAGGTCTCTGCCCCAGCTCAGGGGCAGGGCAGGCTTATCCCATGCACCTTGCAGTCAGATGCGTGTGGAGCGGGAGCTGTCCTGGGAGGCTAACTGTGTGGAGGACAGGAGTTTTCCTGAGGTTTCAGTGAGCCAGCACACCCTTGCTCAAGCACTTGACTACATGCTGGAGAACTCGAACCATTTCCTTAGGCCTTCTTGTCTGCCTCCAAACATCAGCTCCAGGCCAGACATGCCACTGTGGCTGGAGTATTTTTAGGAAATGAAAAACAGGGTTTGCTTGTCCAAGATAATTTTTATTTCCCTCTTTTCATTAACTTAAGTGGCTTTTTTTCTTCTCACATATCCACTCTGATAGGGAATTACTGTGTACTGCTTGTGTTACATCATCTCTGGTCAATAACACTGCCATCTCCACCAGACGCCAGCCTGCACACGACCCGACTCCACACACCCCTTCCCCGCCCCTCCAGCTGAACAGGGGACTGCCAGTGGGTCGTGGGGGAGGGTAGATGGGCAGGCAGACCTGCTCCATCCAGCCCTCTCTTCCACAACCCCCTTCGTATATCTGCCTTGTACGTTTTTCTATCGTGGACGAAAGTCCTGGGCACTCTGTTCCGTACGATTCCCAGTTCATCATTTCCAGCCCCTTTCTGTGTCTCCCACGCTAGCGACCCCATCACTTCCCAGGCTGTCAGGGCTGGCTTGGGAGCCCCTGCACTACTCTACCACTGGAGTGAAAACCTTAGACCAGCTATAAAGGTCCTCACACAGCTAACACTGCTGAGCACTTGCTAGAAACATCTACCCTGACCTCCTGGTGCTTCCGAGGAGACGGAGCACTACAGCTGTGCATGCTGGGCTGGAAGCTTTCGAATTACTCCCTTTCTTCCTAGCATGTGACAGATCAGAAATTAGGTCATAAGAGTGAGTTTTGGCTCTTCAGATACCGACTTTGTTGCATTGCATACAAAAAATTCCCCCAAATCTAGTGCTCTACATTGCTAAGAACATTGGTCCACTATGATTCCCTCCTGCATACGCTGAGCCGGGCGGGGGCGCTGCCCTGCCTCTGCAGACACTGCTGCCGATTGTTTTCTAGCAAGAATCATACATTGTTCTTCTGCTATAAATTCAACAATACAATCCTTACATCTGAAGATACAGTTTCCATATAGCTTATAAACATGATCAGACATACATATGGATAATTGAGAGGAAGGGAACCTGTGCATTTGTTTATTTTATATGTGAACAGGGTTACAAAAAATGCACCTTCTGAAGGAATTTCATGTCACTTGAGTTTTGAGTGTCCCTCTTGAATAAGTCTTTCCTTTGGTAGTTGGCTACTCTGAGCCGAGCAGGCAAGCCCTGGTCAGCTATGTGCCTGAGAGATACAGCGGTCTGAGATTGTCTTCCAAGAGGATTTTGGCCAGCTGTGGCCTGTGGGTTTTGAGCCAAAAGGGCTAAAATGCGGGAGAACCAATGTCCTTATGATACATTTTGTACGTGTCTTTGCACACAGTTTCAGATACATGGTGTAGGCTTAATTGGTGATCATTTGTACAGCAATTATGTTCCCCTCAGTAATCCCAGGGTCTTTCGGAGCCCTCTCAAATGAACAGGGTTTCACCTAGAGCACAGCGACTGTCCGTGTTTGTCCGGTTGTTATTAATGAAGGATTAGCTCCTTTTGCGTGATGTTGGCTTTTTGTAGGTGCTCGGTTGGGGCTGTTTGTGACAAGCATGTGATAATGCCTTTAATCCACTCCCTGCTGGGTGCATTGTGTATAGTTCATGTTTGTAATCCACTCGTCCAGGTATGGAGACCATCAAAAGCCTAAACAACATTCTTTCCTTCCCAAGGCCAAATCCTCCATGTACGAAAAAAGAAGAAAAGAAACTCTGGTCCTTTGTAGATTGGTGGTGGCACAGACACTATCGGACACAGCCAGCTCAGCGTATTATGACCACTAACACCATTATAAAAACTAGAAGCGAGGCCCTGAGGATCGAGCTCCCCGCCGCCTGCTGTACTCCACTGGGGGGTCTGATGGGTGTCCGCCGGGTGCATTTACCCTTCCGCTTGGGTGGTGCTGTAGGCAGCAGGCCAAAGCTGAATTTGTGCTGGTAGTCAGGCACGTAGTCCTGAACCTCATGAATGCTTTTCTGTGGCCCCAGCAACGCTGGCTTAGAGGTTCGGTTGCGGCTTTTGTGGCTGGTGCAGTTCTTGCTGGGCTTTCTGTAACCTTGACGTGATCCGGGGGGCGCTGCTGGCTGGCTGCTGTGTAAACCGTGCTCGACCCCTCTCTCTCTACTCTTCTCCTTGGAGGAGTGGGGTGGGTAGCGGTCTTTGGAGGCTCCTCTGTCTGCTGTGGAGAAAGTGTGTGTTTTGATCTGGTGGAGGGACTCAGACCCTGAACAGTCTCTGTAGTCCTCTGCTTTTAACCCCTTCAGGTCCTTGCCATGCATCTGCTCCGGAGACTCACAGATCACGTTGGAGCTTGAGCCTCGGAACCTGCGCAACCAATCCCAGAGTGACCGGGATTTGCAGTCACAGCTCCAAGGATTGCCGTTCAGCCTGAGGAACTCTAGGGCCCCCAGGTGCGCGAGGCATTCGCCCTGGAGCTCAGAGAGGCTGTTGTTGAACAGGAAGAGGGTGGTCAGTCTTCGGAGGTCATGGAACGCTCGCCTGTGGACCCACTGGAGTTGGTTTTGGTGGATGAGTAACCGATCCAAGTTTATTAGCCCTCGGAATGTGTTCTGATGAAGGCTCCACAGCTTGTTTCCATGGAGAAAAAGATGGCTGAGGTTGACCAGGTCAACAAAAATATCGTCCTGAAGGAACTCGATATGGTTATCTTGTAGATAAAGATACTGCAGGTTGTGGAGGCCACCAAATATCCCGCTGGGCAACGAGCTCAGCCCACACTTGTACAGATACAAGGCATGGAGCTTCGCCAGCCCTTGGAAGGTCTCCGCGGCTAAAGCCCTTAAATAGCGATTATCCCCCAGATCCAGCTCTTCCAGATTGGCAAACCCCTCAAAGGTGCCTGGGTCTATGAAGGTGATGTTATTGGAATAGATCCACAAGGTGACCATGGATGGGCTGAAGTGGCCTCGCAGGAGCAATGTGATCTGGTTGTTCTGCAGAAAAATCCGCTCGCTGTTTTCTGGGATGCCCTCTGGAATGGATGCAAAGTTGTGGGCTTGGCAGCTGACAGTCATAGGTGACGGGTAACATACACAGTCCACAGGGCAGCCTGCAGTGAAGTGGATCTCAAATCCCAGCAGCACCAGGAGCAGCTCCACATAACCCCCTGTTCAAGAAAAGGAGAGAACAAGGTCAGTTGAATTACGACATCTTGTAAATCATTCAGAGCCACCTGCCTGGTAATTAGAGCTGGGAGGATTATTCCTACTGAAAAATGTGGCCAATTAACTCAACCACTTTCTCTCTCCATAAATTACCCACAAGCAGACTGTGACGAGCAGGTTAGATACTCGTACTCACCGGCGGGGCTTGTTTTGATTATTCCCTGGTGGTGGCTTGTGGGGTGTGGCTGGCCTCCTTAGTCACGTGGTACTGTGGCTGCCCTGACAACTGCACCTGTATAAATGGGGCCAGCACTTGCAATGGGAAGAGCGCGTGTGTTGCTTTGCATCCGTGCAACACGTCTGTAGCACGATCTTTCACAATGGCCATGTGCGTAAAGCCCCCGTGTGGCACAGCAAAGCAAGGGGAGCAAGTGTGTCACACATGCTCACGAGTAACCGTTCGCACGGATCCTCCAGCTCTTCCAGTACTAAGGAGAGACCAGCCAGCCCGAGCCCCTTCACTGGCACCCGGGGAATGAGGGATTTCCCCAGCTCAAGGCCCTGTAAGCAGCAGCCTAGGGATCTAAAGAACAAGAGACTCCCAGGAAATACAATTTTGTCCACATTTGGAGAAGGTGCTGAGTTGAAAACTGAATCTGGAAGCGGGTGCTCAGACATATTCCTGCTTCTGAGACCACACACCGGACTCCGAGAATAAAGGGGCAGGAAATATGGTCACAGCCTTTGCATTGCCAGCCTTCTCTCCTTGTGCACTTCCTTCGCCTGCTCCTAGCTCCCTGCTTTCTTTCCCGCCATCCCCTCCCAAACTCACTGCACCAGGCTGGGGTAGGGTCCAGGATTCAGGTCACATGGTGGGAGGAGAGTAGAAACTCCTCTTGGCTTCTCATGTGGTATAGCATGAGAAACCAGGAGTCCGATGGCACTTGAAAGACTCACATTTCGTAGGCTATTATGGGTGAGCTACAACTCGTCTCAGACGCTGAAGAGAAAAAGAAAGAAAAAGGCTACGGAGCTGGGACTGGGACATCAGTGCTGATTCAATTCATTCATCTTCTAAGTGCCCCCAGACTCTGTGGTTTTGCTGAAGCAGGCTCACCTCTCGGAACACTCCATGGCTAATTCTGAGGGCCCTGTCCATGTGGTTCCGCTCTTTGAAAGCAGCGCTGTCATGTTTTAGGGTGCGCGCGCCACAAGGGCTCCCAATAAATCACTTCTCTGTGCTGGTGAGAGGACTCAGAACCGCGTCCAGAGAGTCAGAGCCCGGCCCAGTGAGGCCGGCAAAAGTTCTGTCGCCCTCCCCTGCCGAGGTCACAGGACTGCATTTGCAGATGTGGGTGTTTCCCATTTCTGCACGCCTGCCCACGGAGGGCCTGCTGTCAGGAATCACTGTTCGCGCGGCTACTACTTGTGTTTGGTTTCTAGGGGGAGAGGGTTCTGGTCCTTTACAATGAGCCCATCTAATGCCCTCACAGTGGCCCTGACCTCTTCATGCCCCTCTCCACGGCAGCCCAAAAGAGCCCATCAGCATGTGCAGGCAGGTAGGAAAAGCAGCACTTCCCACGGCTTTAGTGCTTTTCGTCCCTGGCTCGCCAAGCGCTGGGCAGGGGTGTGAGGTCCCATTACTCCCATTGTACAGAGGGAGGCTGAAGTCCAGCAATCGGGGCTTGTGAGCAGAATCTCCCCAGGCACAGACCCCTGGGCTGCTCTCTGTCTGCGCAAAACCCCTTCTCACAAATGTCTACGCAGAAGGGTCTGAGTCAAGGAGAGTGGCTCCCCCAGAGGAAGTGAGCGTGGTCACACACGCTGTTCCGTGACACACTCATCACCAGGCGCACGGGGGAGCTGAGGGAAAGGTCTGATGAGGTGGGCGGTTTGCACATGTGTGATGATTATGACACAGGCTGCCGTGACAGCGCAGTGACGCTGGACACCTGGGTCTGCTTCGGCCCTGCCTGGCACAGCGTGGGTGTGAATTCACGTGGGAGCAGGCCTGCCGACGGGACAGGAAGGGAGCCGGGACTCCCAGCTGCCACTGCTGCTACTCAGGCAGCCGTAGCCCGGGCCCCGTACATCGCTGGGGGAGCCCCACGCACTCTGTGTGGCACTGCGGGCGGGGGATCAGCACTGTGGCCTGGGCAGGCTGAGGACCGGTTGCCCCGGCCACACGCCTTCCACCCCACGGCCCCCACCACCCCTTTCCCAGGGGCCGCATGAGAGAGTCAGGCCCCTCCTTGCAATTGACAGGTGCTCCTGCGTTAACGTCGTCTGATACTTTCTGTATATCCCAGTCCGTCTGTCTGTCTGTCTGCGTTCCAGATGCCTCCGCTGCGGGAAGGGCTGGGCCCACCCACTCAGTACGCAGCCCCCTGGCAGCAGCGTCTGGCTGGGCCTGAGACAATCGCCTGGCTGGCCGGGGGTGCCCCAACCTGAGCCTCCTGTCCCAGGCACCCTCCCCCCAGTCGTACAGCAGCATCGCAGGCTGTTCCCCTTCGCCAGGGAGCCAGGGGAAAATGCCCAGTTTGCTGCAGTCCTCTCTCTGGCTGGGGAGCACAAAAGGCCAATTAACCTGGGTCTGCCCCGGCCGGGGACACGCACCCTCCCCCAGCTGTGCCTGCTGGAGTGCAGTGGCCATGGAGAGATGCTGTGGTGAGAGAGGCCTGGGGCTGTCCTCTCTCCCCAGGCAGCCTGCACCCTGAACCCTCCTCCCCAGCCCCGCCCCAGAGCCAGGGTTCGAAGGAAGCACAGACAGTCTGATTTCATTTTCCAAAGCCCCAGGCACGGCGGGTTCGTCGTCTGGCTCTGTCCGGAGATGGGCGCGTGGACGTTCTGTGGTGGAGCCCCCACGGCGAGGGGTTTCTCTTCGTTGGGGCGGCCCAGCTCGACAGGAGCTGGCTGCCAGCTGCCACTGGCCGCAGTCTAAGTGCTGCTGTTCCAGAGATGGGGCGGGGCGGGGAAGCAGAAGAAACCAGGCAGCTCTCTAGACACCCCGCGGAGCTGGAGCCAAATGTAACCCAGAGGCACTGAGGCCGCTGACCCGGGTGAGTGACGCCCGCTCTGCAGCCCAAGCTGAGCGCCAGCTGGCTTTTGGTTCATGCGGCGGAGAGCTGCTGAGGTCACAGGTTCACGCCCACCTGCCGGTGATCAGGGCGCGTTGGCCGTACGCCCGCACGTCAGTCGTTTGTCTGCTACGCTGGGGGATAAGCCTGGGTTTGGTCAGTTTGGAGCTCGCTACAAACCCAGTGTGTGGCTGGCCCATGCCACTGGTGGGCCCCCAAGCTTATCAATACGGTCCCCTGTAGTGACTTGTCAAATGGCTCTGCGTTGATCCGGAGCAGTTCAGTCCTTCCTGAATTGGAATAGGGAGACCTCCCCAAATCGGAGCCCCCCGTCCCCGCCTTCCGAGAGCTTCTCTTTGGGCCGTGCACCCTTGCTGGGGAGCTGTGCGCCCAGCCTGCCGTCCTCACCAGAGAGCCAGAATCTGATTAATGTGCCGAACAATCTTCTGTTATCTCCAGTGCAAAGCGCTCAGCCTCGTCCTGCGGAGGCTGGAGCAGACGGTGCCATTGGCTCGCGTGTCAGAACTGACCAGGGAGGGAGCGCTTCCGAGCTGAACAGACTCATGCTGGTGGGGAACCTGTTAATGAATTGCTGTAGGGAGATGCAGCACTGTCGCCACTGGTAAACATGCCAGGATGCTGTGAGCGCTTCACACGCCTGTTACTACACGTGCGTGAGGCTTTGTTTCCTCCCCTCCTGCCTTTCACGGGATCGTTCTGCATTCACTTGGCTTGCACTGGCTTCTTACTGGCTGGAGTGAATGCATGGGGCTGTCTGAATTATTTCCCATGCAGCCTTTTTTTTAATTGGCTGTTAATTAGGCATTAGTTAATGCCTGCTAGAAATAATTTATCTCTGGACGTGTCCAGCTTGCAGTGTTACTTATTTCAGCATTATGCTCACTGAGAGACTAACATCATTATAAATATTCTTCATTACCTGCTTGTTTGCAACGTCTCGGCCTTGTTGGAAGGGCGGCTTGCTCCTCCCGCATGCATTATTAATGCCTGAGGCCTGCCTGTGCGCAGCCCTGGGGGACTGTGCTCCCTGGCGCAGGGGAGGCTGGCGCCTTGCGCCCAAGGCTTGGGCTTCCCAGGGCCAGCGTCTGTGCGCCAACGCGACAGAACGTCTTTATTTCCCGTGCAGGGTGGGGCCCGTTTCTCCCGGCCCCGGCACCGGCCCCAGCACGGGGCTAGTAGGGAGGCTGCATAGAGAAAGGGGAAAACCCTCCTCCGAGACCCTCACCCGGAGAGCATCCCCAGCTTTGTGGTAGGCCCATGTGGGCTAAATGCCCAGGGCCTGGGTCTGGGACTGGCGGCTCCAGGTGTGACCCTTTGGCAGCAGGGTGAACCCAGGGCTCAAATGGGCGGTAGGGCCCTAATATGTGTCAAAAGCCCTCAAGCCCAGGCACCTGGCTGAGGACCCTCCTTGGCCAATGGCAGGACCCACATGGCGGAGTCAGCTGGTGCCGCGGGATGGACTCAGCACCTCCAGCCCCCAACCCTGCCCTGCATGGCCCCTGTGCAGCCTGAGCCTTGCCCTGACTGGCACTCCAGCTGCCGGGGATCAGGTCGGCTGCAGTTGCACTTGGGGCTGCCTGCTGCCAGAGGGAGGGGAGGAGCAGGGGGAGCCGGTGGGTAGCGGGGGGGGGCGCTCCTGTGCCGCGGTACGCGGGATGGACTCAGCACCTCCAGCCCCCAACCCTGCCCTGCATGGCCCCTGTGCAGCCTGAGCCTTGCCCTGACTGGCACTCCAGCTGCCGGGGATCAGGTCGGCTGCAGTTGCACTTGGGGCTGCCTGCTGCCAGAGGGAGGGGAGGAGCAGGGGGAGCCGGTGGGTAGCGGGGGGGGGCGCTCCTGTGCCGCGGTATTTCCGGAGCCGGGTGTTGATCACTGGAGTTGGCCATGTTCACGAGACAGGCCAA